AGTTTCTACGTAAAGTGCACATTGCATCTAGAACAGAAACAGCCACCAGCATTACTCTGGCTCTTTGCAAGTATCCGCACACACAGCGTGCTAACACAAAGCTAACAAAGAACCCAGAGTGAATGTATGTCAACGCCAGCCCAGGAGCCAGAGCCCGATCTTCAAAGAGTAAAAAAATCAATGCAGTCATCAACAGAGTTGTCTCACTGTAGCTTCTATTTCTGCACGTTCCTGCAGTTTAATAACAGACACAGTTGCTATGAAGCATCTTTGTGTTGTTGTTTGTATTTTAAAAGACTGGACATGCGCATGTCCTTAGTAGGACAGAGATTTGTGTCAGTCAGCTATGTGACAGTGTATTTCTGGTAGTACAGTGGGTGACATCACAGTGGTTACATTCATATATAGTCTATGTTAAAAATACCACATGAAACATTTCTGTTATGCTTTCTCTTCCTTTTCTACATGTTGAACCATATGATGTTAATTAAAAACAAAACACCTCTACCATGATTAAATAGATCTCCTTATGCTGTTTTGTTTGCATGACATTGCATAACGACACAAGCTGTACAAAAAAAAGCACTAAATCTCTCAGTTTTTATCCATATGAACACTGAAAAAAATCACAAAAAAAACACCAATCTAAACATTATACAATATGACCAAAGATGCGTTTATTGTAAAGTCTGTGAAGGCTCCGTCTGCAAGTTTATTCTTGTTCATAAACATTACGGTGACAAACTCAAGAGGTGAGACCTGGCTACCAAACATGCATAATACATTCAGACCTTCAAAGAATGCTAATGTTAACTAGCCAATGCTAATGGTGAACATTTACATATTCTGCAGGTTGCAAAGCACCTTTACTGGTAGAATAACATTAATTGAGTGATGAGTAAATTATTCAGTAGTACTCATGTGATTGGTCACATGTGCAGGCAGAGCCTGCCATAATGTAAACTGGATGTGCATTTTCTTCAGTAAATCTGCATAACTTGCTCTTTGAAGTAAAGTTTTTCAAATCTGCTTTGATTACCTCCTTTGTAGATCGTCTCATAGACCTAAATGAACCCTACAGGGGGCACTGAGCATGTGATCTTTCAGTCATTCTGAGTGACCAATCAAAAACAGTCTTGTCTCTGATAAGTAGAGAACGTAAAGACCTTCTCTCAATGATCCACAGCAATTTGAACAAAATGACACCCCCGCTGTTATCCTTCTATGTGACATATCTACTCTCAGGATCAATAGGTAAGTTGCATCTTAAATAATTTTGTTGACAGCTACACAATGTCTCTCATAAATTCCAATACTTATCCAGTTATTATATTAAGTTCACTGTGTATTTTCTTTTATTTTCAGTTCATTTGGCAGCTCTGAAGCTATCACCATCATTAAATATCACATTTGTTAAAGCTGGTCAGGATTTAACTTTAAATTGTTCATTCAATCACACTACTGTTGCAGTGATGTTTTACTGGTATAAGCAACCTCTGGGACAGAAACCACAGCTGGTGTCGAAATTCTATAAGCATGACAAAGATGGTACTTTCACTGATGAATTTAAGAATGAGTCTCGCTTTGACCTGGAAACTATGAACTATAAAAACAACTTGAAGATCTCAAAAGCACAAATGTCAGACTCTGCTGCTTACTACTGCATAAGTGGCTATTCATATGTGTATGAATTTTTGGAGGGGATTATCATCCAAGTGAAGGATTCAGATTTGGTTTTCCAAGCTTCAGTTCATCAATCAACACCTGAGACCATCCAGTCTGGAGGCTCTGTGATGCTGAACTGTACAGTGCACGCTGGAACCTGTAGCGAAAAACACAGTGTTTACTGGTTCAAAAACTCTGAAGAATCTCACCCTGGACTCATCTACACCCACGGAGGCAGAAATGATCAATGTGAGAGGAATCGCAGCTCACAGACCCAAACCTGTGTGTACAACCTGCGAATGGAGAGTCTCAATCGGTCTCATGCTGGGACCTACTACTGTGCCGTGGCTTCATGTGGACACATACTGTTTGGAAATGGGGCCAAGCTGAACATTGAGGGTAGCTACCGCTCCTGCCTCTTTTGTTAAACAGTAACAATAGTTTCTAATCAAATATGATGTATGTGGTGTCTTTTAATGTCTGGTTCTCTACAGAAGAGGGGGAATCTTTTATCTATGTGTACGCCTTGAGCGGAGCTTTGGCGTTCAACTCAAGTCTGTTGGTTTTCCTGGCTTATGCAGCCTGTACCTTGTACAAGAGAAAAAACTGCAAATGCACAGGTGGGTTAACTGACTTCTTTAGATTTTACTGAATGCAATAACAAGGAAGAAAGACATTAATAAGTTGTTAAGTAGTCATAATGCTCATTGTTACATTAACTGAAGACATCAACTGGTGTTTCTTCAGCACACTTGGTTGAAATTTTTGGTCGACTCGCTTAAAGTCCAGATAATGTGTACAACAAGTACATTTCTTTCTTTCATTTTTCTTTTTAACAAAGTCCTTTCATAAATATGTATACTACATAAATGCAATTTGTACCTTTTCTTACTGTCAATTGCAAAGATGTAAAAAAAAAAAATTCTTAAGTGTAGTTATTTATTTATTTTGTTTACTGGAATGAAATGAATTAGCTCAGGACATACCTAATTTATTATTAAGTCATCGGTGGTTTACTGTTGTTCAGTATATTAAAGTGTCCTCTGCAATTCTGTGTTGACTACATATGGAGAGTCATTTTGTCGTGACTGCGCCAACTGAGTTAAAAGAAGGATCATTTTTTCCCTTCTTTTTTATAAACAGACCCTCGCGCGGAGTCTTCAGGGACCTCGGATCCAAATGGAGACGTAAGTTTTTGTGTAATGTTCTAATTTCTAAAAAAATATCAGTGAATAAATTAACTGTTTTTCGAGACCTTACAATGGAAGGAAAAAAAACACAGAATGAAGAGCACCTTAACAATTCGATGCATTGCAGTATTACATATTCTTGCGAAGGTCACAATGTCCAGTTTTCACTTGTAGTTCTGTTGTTTTGAAATTAATTTTATTATAAGTGAGGTTTTCTTTTAATGTGCCATCCAGTGGTTATGCTCGCTGGTTCAAGGGTAACATTTTTCTTTCTTTTTTTCTAAACAGGCATCTCAAGATGCAGACCATCTCCATTATGCTGCTTTGAAGGTGAACAAGGCCACCAGATCAAGAAGGCAGCAAGAGGACACCCTTAGCCAATGTGTTTATTCTAGTGTGAAGCAATAAAGTTGGACATGTTTTCTTTGTAGTCTCTGTGAGAAAAATGACACATTTTTTGCTTTTTGTTTGTGTGGTTTTCTCCTCCTAAACTAAATGTAAATCTGTGCCTTACAAAATAAACAGACATGTTTGCTTAACTTCAGCTGTGCCAGGTTCTTTTGTCAAAGGTGTGATATTTCCATTGTCACTGTATTTACATTGCATTCACGATGTACAGCGAGTGACATACACACAGTTGTGTGGTTTCACAATGCACCTTTGTGTTGCAGAGCTTAAGATCTGAACAGCCCTCTTTATTTCATAAAGCCTGCGCATCATTAGTGCTTCACCCTCTAGTTCAACACACATTATTTGATTCTAGATCTATTTTTGAATGAAACACTCTCATTAACACAATCTGAGTCGGGAGGAAACAACTGGCATGGCACTGCAGATGTGACTCATACAACACAGTCTTCTTCCAGGTGTGGTAGGTTGCTCACACAAAGCGGCAACCATTTCACAACAACAAATCCCGCCTTATTGCAAAGTCTAAAATGATTATGTGACATACACAAATCTTCCAGATTATCTGCCCTAAATGTATCGATGGCATCTGAAAGCCTTTGCAGGTTGTTTACTCTAAATGTGTCGTCTGCGCACAGCAGAGCTGAGGGAGTCTTTTTTTAGCGTCTGTGTGGTTGATAGGCAAAAACATAGCTCTCAGTATACTTCAGCCATGCACTCCTGTAGGACCCTTTGCGCTCTTTGTGGTCTCAAACAGGAAGTCTCTGCATTGTTTTTGTACATTGCAGCCACACAGTTTAACTCGGCTTACCAATTACTCTTTTAGGTAGTTAAAAAAGACAACAATCTGGTAATTACAATAGTTTGTTTGCAATTTCCCTGATGAGCAGGTGTCCTGTACTAATAAAATAGCTAATATTATTAAGAGTCATTTTAATAGCTAACATTTGTTCATATTGCATACTCTGTGCATGTATAATATAAGTAAATATTACCACCAACCGCAAATAGCAGCTATTTAGAGATTAGCCTGAGCTTCTTTTAATGACTCCCAGCAAATCTATTTGTGCTCCGCCCCATATATCAGCTCTTAAATATGAGTCCTTCATATATGAAGCAGTGAATACCCCTGTAAAATTTGCATAATGTAAAATATATATATTTTATATATTTACTAATGTTATCTTGACATAATGGTTTTAATATTACCATATTCTTCCAGGACTCATTGGTTATCTCTTCAGGTTTTCTGTCTGTGTTAGCGCTGGCACTTGTGCAGAGTATTAAAAGAAAGTGTTGCCCACAATTAGCTAACATAGACACACCCAGCTGTTGCTAATACATTTAATATAAAATCAGATTTTTCTTTATGGACCAAGACTTTTTTTGTTACTGGAGAAGATAATGCAGGGGTATAATTATGCAGAGGTGCAATACATGAAAATAGTTAACGTACCATTCATTGTTACAGTTTGTCATTTTCTGATATGTTGTGATCAAAAACAGCAATTTACAGAACATCAAGTAATGAAAGTAACAATAGTTAAAGCAATGTCATAGTGTACCTGATTACATTTAAGTTGAAATTAAAGGGACAGAAATCGGTGTGGAACATCACAAGTCTTAATGCTCCTAGGCGTTACTTCTCGTTAGCCAATCAAATGCAGTCCACTCAGAGGAATAAAGAGCTTGGTGAGAGTCAGTACATTCAACAGGATACGATGTGGACACGATGATGCCTTTAAAGTTTGCTTTGTGTCTGACATGCCTGGCACTGGGTAGTGTAGGTAAGTTGTCTCTTCTAAATACAGCTGTATAGAACGCATATATATACTGATATACACAATCTTTTAAAATCTGTGTTTTTTTCCTCTTCAGCTCAGAAGACTAACCTGAAATCCTCAGTTTATGTGCGTCAAGAAAGTGGTTTTGTGTCGCCTAGCGTTGGTGACAAAGTGACTTTGCAATGTTTCTACGAAGAAGACGCAGTGATGTTTTACTGGTATAAACAATCTCTGGGACAGAATCCAAAGCTTGTGTCTAAATTTTATAAACATGAAAAAAATGGCACGTTTTACAGTGAGTTTGAAAACAATTCTCGTTTCTCACTAGACACTGGAAATGGTAACAATCACTTGATCATTTCAGATCTACAGATTTCAGACTCAGCTACTTATTACTGCATTGGTATCTATGTATACGATTTTGAATTTTCTGAAGGTGTTACTGTCAGTGTAGAGGGTTCAGGGATAAACATCCAAACTTTGCTCCATCAGTCTGAGACGATGGTTCCATCCGAAACCATTGAGCCTGGAGGCTCTGCTCTGAACTGTATTATACACAAACATACCTATGATGGAGGCCACAGAGTTTACTGGTTCCAGGATTCTGCCAAATCTCATCCTGGACTCATTTATGCCAACGGAGTCAGGAGTGATGAGTATGAGAAGAGGCCTACGACACAAACACACACCTGCTTCTACAACTTACCCATGAAAAGTCCTAATCTCTCTGATGCTTCGAGCTACTGTGCTGTTGCCTCATGTGGACACATACTGTTTGGAGACCGGGAAGAGCTCCACTTAGAGCGTAAGTAGCAATACAAAATCCGTTTCATATTTGCATGACTGAGACTGTTTTACACACAAAGCATGTTCAAAAATGTTTGCTTTACTCATCTTAACTTGCAGATGAGCACTCTGTTGTCTTGGTGTATTTCCTGAGTGGAGCGTTGATATTTACCATTATCCTGCTGCTTATGCTGTCATATGCAGCACTGAGAATTAATATCAAAATGAAACGCCAAAGTTCAGGTAGGCACTGGTTACTTTTCACTCATGTTTAGGTAGCATATACAGTCATAAAGACTTAAAAAGCATCTTTGTCTCCAACCTTCATAACCAGACTCTCAAGCAAGATCTGCAAATGCCTCAACTCCAAATGCAGAAGTGAGTACTGATCTGCCAGTCTAACTGTATGTAGATAGACAGAAGTAGGGTACACCAGTTTTCTAGTTTGTGATGTTGCAATCTTTGCATTTCTACTATCTTAAGCAACAGAAAATTATGTTTGGACCTATGTTTACTAAAAATAATCTTTAAAAACAAATAAGAGGAAACATTGCTAGATACAGTTATGGCTTCCATCAACATAATGACCAACCATTGGAAGTTATCAAGTTTGACAAAGTGGAAGATATCAGTAATACTGTATATGGACAAAAGTACTGGGCCATCTAAACATTAGAACCAGAAGAGCTGCTCGGCTATAACAAAACATGCCATGAAGCTCCCGGTGCAGTTTTTGTGTTTATGTAAATACCGGAGGAGGTTTGAAACTCTGCAGTTATTAGGTCAGCAGAGAGTTGGCAACTTTGACACATTTCTGTGTTACAAGAAGACGTGAGGCACAATATAAATGTATATATATTGCAAATGAAGTCTGGTATGAACTGTGAGATTCCCACCATCAACTGCACCTGCTTGCTACTGAATGTAAAGCAGCACATTTGATGATGCATTTATTCTTCCAGGTGTGTAGATGTCCTTAGCAATGTGCCATTATGCTGTAGTGGCAATAAAGAATTATAAAGTACTAATTTTAAATTGTTATGTTGTTATCAGGGTAACCAAGATTCAGACAACCTCCATTATGCTGCTTTGAGGGACCACAAGGTCAACCGATCCAAGAGACAAAGAGACAACACAAACACCGAATGTGTGTACTCCAGTGTCAAACAGTAAACCTGGAATTTCATTTGTAGCCATGTTGTTCTGTAAGAAGAACTGTGTCTTTAAAGCATTTGTTTTTTGTTTGTTTTTTCGATTTGTTGATTGTTGAAGCATTGTTGTAATATATTGTGTATGGTAAGAAGAGAACTACAAGCCAGAGATAAAGAAAGGTAAAAGAGAAAGATTGCTACATAAAAGCCAGTAGAACTGTGAGGAACATAAGCTAGCAAGCTCATATTACAAATATTACAAACTCAGTAATGCAAAAGGATCATAAACAGAACGTCTCTGCAGTCTCTAAGTGTGGCCTTCAGAGATGAGACTGCACGCACAGAAACAGCAGGCCTGTGCCTTCTCATAGCAGTGTTGTGATAAGCAGGCACTTAACTTCTAAATATGCAGTTACGCTGAACATGACAGGAAACAATTTATCAGTGATAATCTTCTGATAATTTAAGACATGTCATACATCTTTCACAACTGCATTTGCAGAATGTTGTTCCATTTGGTGTTGTTTGCACACCTGAAACCAGAGAAGTGAGACTCTGTATGTAGCTTCTGTGTGGTCAACAGTCAAATGACTGACTTTCAAAGTGCTTTGAAGAACACCTAGCTCACTTTGTCTTTCTGGTTTCAGACAGGAAGTGTCTGCAGTGTGTTTATGGACTGCAGCTATGCAGTATTAATGATGCTCAAGTTTCTTCAGTAGACTACATCAAAATACTAAAATAAATCAAAATGCAATCAATCACATTGTCTTTGTTTTATTCATTTTATTCAAATAGGATGCACTCTATAACTATATTGCTTCTTATCCACACAAAACCAGTGAAGCCCAAGCTCTTGTGGCCTTTCAGTCTATAAGGTTCACACACATTTTAACTAACACAATTCTATGACATACATGAAAAATAAAATAAATGTAAATAAAATGTAAATAAAAATAAATGTAATTTGGTGCAATATAAACATTTCCTTATGGCTAAAACATGAACCAAATATCAAAAACCGTTGTGTCCATGGCCCCACTGCTTTTTTAATATCCTTTTTTTTTTTTTTTTTTTGGCTTTTAGCCTTTACTAGAGGACAGTGAATACTGATGCAGGAAGTTTTTGACCTCCTTAACCAGAAGAACTGTATTGAGATCCAGTATGACCCCAATTAACATAAATGACTGAGACTTAGTGAGTGAGAGTTCAATAAAAGTGACAGTAGCTGTAGGAGGCAGCTGTGTGAGAGACAACAAGAGTGAACTACCAACCACTACACCTACCAATGTGATGACGCCTCAATTATATCGTCTTTGTAAAATTTTGTAACATCACCTTTCTAGTTGTACCTCCATTGCTAGACTCTGGTAGAAAACAGCTATGAAGATGCAGGTCGTTACACGTGTCACCAGGGTGGAAAAGTCAGTGATGGGGACGAAAGCTGATCTGTTTGCAGCTGCAGTACTTCCTTCTCTCCTATACTCAAAATTCAATTTTTTATCGCGCAATGTTCAGTCCTTGAGTCTTTTCAAGGAATGTACGCTTGATATTATTTAATTTACATCTAGTCAACATGCAAGCTTCAACTCATGGCTCTCAGTGTGGGATAGCGTCACTTTCATGACATTGCTGTTAATGTTTAAACAGTAAGTTTCAGGTCTGGGCAATTGGATTTTCACAGATTTTCCATTAATTTTCTGGATTTTTCATGTTATTTAAGTTTTTTTTTTTTATCACCAAACGCACCACTTTGATTCAGATTCATATATCTCAACGATTGCAGCAAGTCCATTTATGGCCCCCATAGGGTGGACATTGATGGTTGTATTGTGAGTAAGTCACATGATGCCCTCATGTGGGGGTGGCTGTAGCTCAGGCGGTAGGGCAGGTCATCTACTGATCGGAAGGCTTCCCCTAGTCTGCATGCCAAATATCCTTGAGCAAGATACTAACACCAAATTGCATGCATCAGAGTATGAGTGTGTGTGTGAATGTTACTTAGAAAGCACCTAGGAAAATGTGCTTGTGCGAATATGGTTGTGTAAAGCACTTTGAGTGATCAGAAGAGTAGAAAAGTGCTATATAAGAACCAGTCCATTTACGATTATTGCCCTAATTTTCCCCAGTGGCCACTCATATTATTGCAACCGAAAAGACAATGAAAAGATGTATATAAACTACTAACAGAACAGAAGCCTAGAAAATCGAATTTTGATGATGCAGCATTTCTCTCTAAGCATGCTAGACAATTAGAAATGTGAAGGTGGGACCAGCAAGAGAAACACTGAAACATATCCAAATGTATGAATGACGGGAAGTTAAAAATAAGAAATATGATCTTTTCATAGAGCATTTAAAAAGGATATGGCTCACTGAAGGAAGAAAACTTGCATCACCAGATATGGCATACACACAGCCACTACAATAACTAATGTCTGTGGCGTCTTTCAATCAGATCTTGGTTCATTTCACTGTTCTTAAGACAATAAGTAGCGCTAAATTACTTTTCACACTAACTGGAAACATCCTAACCTTGGCAAAGTTTGCTCTCACTCACGTTATTGATTTTTGGGGTTTTAATGGTTAAAATAATGTAATACTATAACTCTGGTATTGTTTTCCACATCTCTTGCTGCGAGAACCAAAATTCATAATGAAGGGGGCGTTAAACTTTTGTACCCTGTTTCAAAAGTAGTTCAGTGTCACTTTTGGTTAGCCAATCAAACGGAGCCTTGTCTCTAAGACTAGAGGACGTATGGAGGTTTTCTACATTGGTCAAGATCTTTTGATCACAATGACATCTCTGAATTTTGCTTTGATTTGCCTGGTCTTCTGGAAAATTGGTAAGTTGGGAATACCTTAAATTCTTAAAAATATAAATTAAATCTCACTTATAGAGTGATTAGGCTTTTATTGTGATTTTAAGTGCAAACATTCATGGTGTTCTCTTTACAGACCGGGTAACTAATATTCAGCTCTCCTCAAATGTTCGTCAAGAGAGCGGCTTTATATCAGCTAATGTTGGGGACAATGTAACTTTGCGATGTTTCTACGAAGGTGATGTTGCAGCTATGTTTTACTGGTACAAACAAACCCTGGGACAAAAGCCAAAGCTCATCTCTAGCTTCTACAAACATGACAAAAATGGCACTTTTAGTGAGGATTTCAAGAACAATCCAAGATTTTCTTTGGACAGTAAAAATGGAAAGAACCACTTGACAATCTCGAATTTACAAATGTCTGACTCAGCAACGTATTACTGCATAAGCTGCTATGCGTACAAGTTTGAATTTGCAGAGGGCGCCACTATCCATGTGAAGGGTTCGGATTTGAACCTTCAAACTTCAGTCCATCAGCTGTCTTCTGCAACCGTCCAGCTAGGAGCCTCTTTGACTCTGAACTGTCCAGTCCACACTGGGACTTGTGATGAAGAACACAGTGTTTACTGGTTCAAAAGCTCAGAAAAATCCCATCCAGGACTCATTTACACCCATGAGGGCAGGAACAATCGCTGCGAGAGGAAAGCTAACACACAAACAAACACGTGCGTCTACAATTTGCCAATAAAGAGCTTAAATTTGTCTGATAATGGGATGTATTACTGTGCTGTTGCCTCTTGTGGACACATACTGTTTGGTAATGGGACCAAGCTGGGCTCGGAGGGTAAGTGGCATTCTAGTAGCCTGTCTCACATTTGCTAAACAGTCTTTAACACTCTCTCATTCAGCTTTTAATGGAAACATATTAACAACACTGATGGTTGATGGATGTTTGGTTCTCTACAGATGAGGTGACCTTTCCTGACTTTCTCGTGCATGTTTTAAGTGGAGTCTTGGCATTCACCACCACTTTGAGTCTTTTAATGGGTTTTCTAGTGTGCAAGATGAATAAAGGTAACCAGTCACTTACACTTGCAGTCAGTCCAAACATGGTTAGATATAGTGCACAAAAAACAGTTGCAAGGGTGTATGAAAGGGCACATGTGGCTTACAGTGTAAAGTGCTTTGATTTGTTAGTAAGACTGGATACACATTATATAAGTGCCAAACTATAATATTGTTTTCTTGAACAGCGTGTATTTACAGACAAAGGCTTTTATATTTTTTGTGTTTCACAATAGAGTCACAAGCAAGATGTTCAGATGCAGCTAATGCAGAGGTGACTATATTTTTTGATATATATCAAATTATCTTTTGAACAGCTACCAATACATATATTACACTGTAGCACTTGATTTTTTTTCTGTAACATTTATTGACTTGTGTATTTTTGTACCAGGGATACCAAGATGCAGACAACCTTCACTATGCTGCCGTACAGACACAAAAGTCCAACCGGCAAAGGAGGCAGATGAATGACACCATGAATCACTGTGTGTACTCCAGTGTAAGGCAGCAGATCTGAACCTGTTTCATCTAGACTTTGTTTCAGCGTAAGATGTGGTTTTGTTAGCGTGTGTTTTGAGATCTGTTGTGAAGATAATCAGTACAAAGCCTTGGTTACAAAGGTGCTACATTTCCATTATCAGTATACTTGTTGATTCTCAGGGGTAAGAAAAACAGTAAGAAAACATGTTACTTTATGAAGCCAACCTTTCTGAACACGTGCATAACACACTGTGCCACATCACCATAAATATAAGCCAGTTTATGTCACAAGAAATACAATGTACAATGTAATGAGTGCTCTCTACTGGGGAATATCTGTTTATCTTTTCATATTGTGGTTACATATTTAAGAATCTTTTTATAGCTTAGATTAAGGTCTGAAGTTTAAAAAAAGTCATAAAGTTAAATCTCTATATGTCTGGGTGATTCAAAGATAAAACAAGCAACAAAAACAAACCATCTGCTCTTTTGTTTTTGTGTCTGTGTAGTTGCAAACAGGAAGCCTCCACTACTTTTCCACCATTGCAGCCGTATACTAGCTAAAACAACAAGGTTAATGCAATTAGCACTTTTGAACTAACTCTGCTGAAAGTTTGCAGCACGGCTATTTTTCCATAGTGTAGTGGTTTACGTGTTCAACGGGTGAAAGATTTCCGGTTCGATTCCAGGAGGAGAGATGAATGGAGTATTTCTCTGAAATTGCAAAAGTTAGAAAAAATTTAAATGGAGCTACCTACCTGTGAATAAATGATCTGCCAAAAGTTGCATGAGCTCTATGAAGGGCCTTCTTGCTGTGCTGGTGTATTTTGCATGGTTTTAATGGAATTTTCTGACAAATAAAATATATTACACACCATTCAAGATGCTTATTTGGGTTATTTTCTTTCCTGCTGACTGTTTGGAAGATATCTGTGTCTTTTTGTTGCACCTGTACAATTTATGAATACAGTTTGCTAACATTAGCTGGCAATTCAGCACTCCACCCTGATATGACTGAAATAACTGATATACAAGACTTGGTAAGTCTTAAATCTTTGTTTTTCCCCATTAGCTGCCTGTCCTCATAAACACACCAAAATGGTCTTTTTTAAATTCTACATAACTTACAAATCTTATCTTGTATAACTAAGGCATAGAACTCAAGACTTCTTGGTTTAAGAAGCAGTGATTGTGTGTTATAGTGATGTTACCCACTGGCTTGTGTGGATTACTTTGGTATTTTGGATGTTGCCATGTTTTTTAAAACATCAAAACACATATTTGGACCAGAGAGTAGAGCTTCGGAGTTATCAGCTTAGTAAGTCTAAGGGGTTGAACAAACTGAATACCCAAAATCTTGAAGTAAACATTAAACAAGAAAAAACTATAAATACCTGTCACTCAATATAGTCACACCTCTTTTTATGCATACACATGTGCATAGATTTATTATGCTTAAGAAAATGTGTTCACCAAAAATTTTCACCCCGTCATAGTTTCTTCTGTAAACACAAGGTCAAACTCAAGCAATCATTTCAGTGAGACTTATGTTAGCCAAGTTAAACTGTAGTGGTCTTTGTGGGTTTCAGAAGAATTAAGAGGTGTAAGTACTTTAGTGGGGAGTCAGTCTTAAAGAAAACTGCATTAAACCACAAAGTAAATGGAATTTGTGGGTATATTATCTAATTTACCTCTGAGGTGTTAAAATGCAAGCCCTAAAGACCACATGCAAATAACCAATAAACCTTTATAGACCATAAAACAATCCAAAGAGAGAAGGCATTATGTCAAATGTCAGCCAATAGAATTCTTTGCAGTTCTTTGACAAACGTGGAGATGAGACCTTGTATAGACTACAGGCCTGTTGGGCACTCTTAGGGCATCTGTCCAAACTTTAGGCCTAAAAAGTAAGCAAATGTCTTCCCCATATAGTTATTATTAAGCAGCAAATTATCTAAGGAGAAAAAAACGCAGTGTTTTGTACCATGAAACTGTTTTTTAAAATGTTGTACATCAGTTAAATTGGGCATTTTAACAGGGAGTCTACAGAAATCGACTACTTTTGAAGACACCCTCAAGTTTTTGGCATTTCCTCATTGCTTTTTATTGTTTGCATGAGATGGGAAAGTCACCTGACTGTTTGAGACATCACTCAAATTTGCCAGAAAGTGCTGGAAATTGATGGCATTTCCCTAACAAAGGATATTGTCATAACTTTTGAAAAGTTCCTAAGGGGTTTCTCCAAAAACAGCATTCATGCTCAGCATTATTATTATTTCATTATTATTATTATTATTACACAAAGATTGTTTGCTGTTTTCAAAGGACCAGATTCCAGAAGACCTCAATCAACATATAAACATCATCCTGGTTCGACCAATTTTGGCACACCTTGGATACCGTATAAAAGTATGGAACAGCAGAAATTATATAATTTCATTTACATGCCTAAAAATGTTTGTTTTTAAAAAATATATTTTTGAAGAATTAAACACACATTCACAGGCAGCGTACCCTTTCTGCCATGCGCATGGGAAGGTTAAACAGCCTCTGGTGCTTTAAACTCTGAGGAGCTGTAGCTTCGGCTTCTATTGGACGATTTGTTTGATTTACACCTTTTTTTAATCATTTGAGCCAATAGAATCACAGTTATGATGCCAGAAGTTGCAAGACCAGACCCCACGTGACCCCAAATTTATGACACGCGGCATCTGTCCAGTCACGTGTCCATAACTGGGCCTAAGATGGCGATTATTGATGGAAGTTGCTCTGATGCATTGTGTTACCACCAGAGATGGGCAGTAATGCGTTACTGTAATCTGATTACGTTTTTCAAGTAACGAGTAAAGTAAGGGATTACTATTGCAAAAACGGTAATTAGATTACCGTTACTTTCCCGTAGGAACGCTGCGTTACTGCGAGTGCGCCGTTAGTGACAACAGCTGTGTGCAGATCAACAATGGATCACATATCGAGTGCGGGAGAGAGTATGAGCGTGCAGAGTTTCAAGCGTGGAAGTACTGACCTTACTTTGAGTTTGATTCCATAAAAAGTGACAAAAACATTAGCGTCCGTTGTGTGTGGGAAGAAAACCCCTAAACTTCCGAGCAAGCACCGAGTAGCTATGACGTAATGGGAAACTCACAGAGAAACTCGCGGATTCTTCCATTGACCGCGGCACACCTGCACCAGGGTAAACCTCCGCCTACCACAGTCCTGCTTTACAGGTGAAAATAGAGCAACAGGACCGCTGAGTCTTTGACTTTATTTATTTTCTGCTGTGTTTTACTTGCATCTATTTGAAAGAGTGAGTGTAAACACAAAAAATATTTTATTTTATGTGCTGGAATGTGTAGAAAATAGGTTTTAAATGTTAAACTAATTTATTCAAGTCAGAGAATGTTGCATATAGTTTAATTTTTACTTGATGCATAAAGTTAAAAGATTAAAACTGATAAAACAAGTTAAAAAAGAGACTTTTCCATTTGATTACATTTTATATGATGTATTATGCAGAAAAAGTAGAATTGGGCTGAAAGATCTATCACTTTATCACCTCTTCAGGTTGTAAATCGTGTTTTTAAAAAGTAACTAAGTAACTAAGAATTAATTACTTTTGAAATTAAGTAATCAGTAAAGTAACGGGATTACTTTTGGGGGGAAGTAATCAGTAATTAGTTACTGATTACTTTTTTCAAGTAACTTGACCAACACTGGTTACCACAGCCATTATCCAGAACTACAGCGGCTATTGGTTACAGCAGAGGAAACCAGTCCGGTAAGCAACTTTCTGTCTTAGCACATTTGTGGTTTTCTTTTGCCGTTGGTTTAGTGAATTTTGAAACTCGCTGTTTTGGAATCGGTGAGAACTAAAATAGCTAACTAGCCATTGTTTACATTGTTACATGAAGTCTGGAGAATTCTTGGCTCAGTTGTGTGTGTTTAGAAGACTTAACTTGAGAATTTACAATAGGACTTTGCTATCTAATGGATAATGTCACGCTAGCTAAATCAATATTTTACATAAAATCTATGAAAAACTGGAAACTGTGTTTTTTTTAGTTCACTTTTACAGACAGGTTGTTTGATGCCTTGCAATGTGTTGCTGATGTCCGGAAATATACTTTCACAGGATAAGCCATGTATATAATTACTGACTGCAGTTATTCTGTAGAACAATATGATGTTAATTCTAGTGCCAAAGAACTCTGCTTTCTATTCTAATATGTTGCATAAAGCTCAATTATTTATAAGTGATTTGAAAAAGTGTCAGAAGCCTTAAAGTACGTCAAATAGTTTCACCCAACTGATTCTTCTCATAGAGCTAAGATTGCTTCTGTAGGTGGATGTGATCATCTACCTTCCTGGCCAATCAAAACAGTCTTGTCTCTGAAGAGAGTGAGGATGTAGAGCAGTGCTTTTCACTCAACACGGCAATTTCAACAAGATGACACCTCCGAAGCTTGTCTTCTATCTGACATGCCTCTTCTTGGTGGAATTTAGTAAGTTGCATTTTATTTAAAAAACAAGAACAACTATTTGTTTTAAATTTATGATTCTGGTTAAAAATAATTCTGCTCTTTACCCCATTTAGCTCAGATGAATCATTTAAAACAACCCAGAAATTTACATCAAGAGAAAGGATTGATATCTGCTAATGTTGGACAGTCATTGATTTTGCGATGTTTTCATGACAGTGATGCTGCAAAGTATTACTGGTACAAGCAACTACTGGGACAGAAGCTACAGCTTATTTCCAACACCTATAAATTTGACAAAAATGGAACTTTTTATGATGAGTTCAAGGACAATCCACGCTTTACATTGGAAACTGATGTGGGTATAAATCACTTACGAATTTCCAACGTACAAATCACAGATACAGCAACTTACTTCTGTGCAAGTGGTCTTTCATTTGTGTTTGAATTTGGAGAGGGTACCAAAGTCATTGTAAAGAGTCAAGGTTTGAGCATCAAAGCTCTAGTCCAGCAGTCTGCTTCTGAAACCATCCAGCCTGGAGGCTCTGTGACTCTAAACTGTACAGTACACACTGGGACCTGTGATGGAGAACGCAGCATTTACTGGTTCAGAAAAACAGAAGAATCTCAACAAACAGGACTTATTTACACCCATGGAGGTGGGAATGATCAGTGCGAGAGAAAAACTAAAACACAAACTAACACCTGCGTCTACACCCTGCCGATGAACGGTCTGAATCTGTCTCATGCTGGGACCTACTACTGTGCTGTTGCCTCATGTGGACACATACTGTTTGGAAAGGGGACAAAACTGGACTTTGAACGTGAGTAACGTCAAGGCTAAGCTTACTAAAAATACTGTAGATCCCCCCCAACAGGGAATGGGACAAAGTTGGACTTTCAAAGTGAGCAGATTTTCTACCAGGAATGGTCTGATTTTACTCAATAGTATTTATTTTAACTTTGTAAAAAAAGTTGTGAATTTGTTTTCACGTTTTACAGGGGACGTGGACTCACTGGGTTTGGTGTATTTTTTGGGTGGTGCTTTGATATTCGTCATGATTCTTTCTGGCTTTCTGGCTTTCCTGATATGCAAGATGAATGGGAGTAACTGCAGCCAATATTCAGGTACAGTGTATTTTCATTGTTCAAAGCTTAATCTGTATTTTCTTTTTTGGTAAAAAAAATAACTTTTTCTCATGTAGGACAGTCATCTCCTCACACAACCAATGCAGAGGTAAATATCACTGGAGTGTAACTTTCACAAGCACAAATCTTCCAGTACAATGCACATGAGAAGCAGTTACAATGTATTAATATATTATTTTGTTAGCAGGGTTACAACGATGCAGACAGCCTGCATTATGCCGCTTTACGTGTAAACCAGAGAAAACAATCAAGAAGACTTAAGGATGACACCATGAGTGAATGTGTGTACTCCAGTGTAAAGCAATGACTGTCTTTTGCTTTCTTTATAGTTGTTAAAGAGAAATACTTGTACAATTTTGATTTTAAAAACGGTTTCTGGGTCTTTTTTGTTTGTTTTTGTTTGGAATTTCATGATGGATATCCTAATATTATTCCTTTAAAGTGATTTATAGACTTGACAGATTAAATATATCACATATTTCTTGATTTTGATGCATTTCGTTTAATGCTCTGGAATTCTTGCCATGTGTTTAATCACAAAATAAAGTAAATGTCATTGTGAAGAACTTGAGCGAATGCGTGTTTACTTCTTTTGGGTATCTGGTTGCTCCCTGTGTATCGTACAGTATATGTGACAGTCCTCACTTATCCCAGACCAGCAGTGGAATTAGGAGGTGGCTGTGGCCAGAAAAGCTGCCAATAATTATTTTGATACTTTAACAACTCTAAATACTGCACATGTAGTTTAAACATCAAAAGTTTGTTGTTGAGATTTAGTTTCTCTATAGGTTATTATCACTAGTCTCGGATTTTGCCTTCATAGGAACTAAGGGGAAAGAGCTGCCAGGTGCTGACAGTGAAACACACTTCATTAGGTGATCAGTAAGTGTGACCACCTCTACAAAGCCAAAAACTTTCAGTTAGCATACGAAATGTTCTTCAGAACATGATCACAAAAAACAGACCAAGTTTAGGTTTTTTGAAGAGTTGCAAGGAAAAAAGTCCTTTTGAAAGGAACCCATCAGCGTGGGATATTTTTGGGAAGTTGCATTAGAATAAGGCAAGGCAAGGCAAGGCAAGTTTATTTGTATAGCACAATTCAACAACAAGGTGATTCAAAGTGCTTTACAG